AAAAAAAAAAAACAAAGGTGTGAGCCAGGAGGGAGGGAAGGTGGGAGGGAGGGAACCTAGAGATGTGCGGAGAGATGGCTCAGCAGTTAAGAGCACTTGTTGCTCTTGCAGATGACCTAGGTTCAATTCTCAGCACCTACATGGTGAATCATGAACATCTGTAACTCCAGTTCCATGGATCTGATGCCTCTTCTGACCTTCTTGGGCACCAGGCATGCATGTGGTATACACATGCAGGTAAAATATTCACACACATTAAACAAACCAACAAATAAGAAGGAAAGGGAAGAAGAATGCAAAAGGAAAACAGAAAGGCAAGCAAGCTGTACTCCTATAGCCTACAAGAGCACTGTTACTCCTGTTTTGCCTGGCCTGTAAAAACTGACCCCAGACCTCACAGACACAAGTAAGTGTGTCCTCTTACTACAGTCAACCATCAGACCAGAAAGATCACCTCTCATTCCTATGTCTAGCTTCAAGAGTAATAGAAAGCAGTTTAAATTGGAAATGGGAAAGCAAGCATAGAGGAATATGCCATAAGAGTACGGGAGCAGCTGGGAGTACTACTATCACTTCAAGCTAAGAGGCATGTGTTGCCTTAAGATAAGGAAAGTCAACTCACAGGAGTAAAGACAGCACAGGATGCAAGTGAGCAGCAAGCACCTCTCTGCCAAACCCTAAGTGGTTGTGTCTGAAATACGAAATACAGTAAACCACTTAAACGAGAATGGCTGTAAATCCCACACTTATTCAGAATACCTGTTCAACAAAGTAACACCTCTATCTCATTATTTGTATCTGTAAATTGATAACATACTACTACACCATATTACTGGAAATATTAACTGTAAAATTTTAATAGAACATAATGCATGGCACATTGTAATCATCCCAAAATTAGTCACTGCATGTAATTAAACCAATTATGTAACTCGAGGCAGTCTAGAATACAGGCTGTTCCAGTAAGGAAGCCACTAGCCACATGTGTCTACTGAGCCTTTGAAATATCATTAGTCTGTTGATTTATACTATATGTTAGACAGACTCCCTGAGTTTTGAATCCTTAGTATACTCCAAAGAAGCACATAAAATATTTCCTCAGCAATTTCTACACTGGAAATGTCAAAATGATACTCTAGTTATACTAGATTAAGTGAAGTTAAATTAGTATTCAGTATACTCATTTTTCCTTTTGTGCTTTAATGTGGCTACTAAAAAGTTTTTGCTAAATATAGTACTTGTACTGTATTTCTACTGAATGGTTCTAGTAAAAAAAAAAAAACACATTGATGTTTCAAATTCAAAATGGAATATAACTGTCATATGTTTTACAAAAGTTGGAGATCTTAATGCACTTTAAATTCCTCCAAATTAGGCAGTACGGTTTTAATATCATACTTACCAAATCCACTTTATACCTTCCATTTTCTTGACTGCACCCATTTAATTGACTGTCCATTCACTGGAACATACCTCATCTTCACACTTTGGTATAAGAATACTGGTCCTACTTTATAAGTAGGTACTACTTCACAGCAAATATCAACAGAAGCTTACTCTAAGAACCAACTAAGGCAGGTTTCTAAGGGTCTTTCCGGTAAGGAATGACTAGGGAGGAAGACCCCTAAAGTGGCCGCACCTTCAGGCTGCAGCCCAGACAGAAAGTGACAACAGTGCTGCTTTGTCTACCTGCAGTGTTCCTTGCTAGTGAACACATCAGTCTTGCTGCTGCTGCAACTGCTGCCATTCTTTGCTTACAAGGGAACTCACATCTTAGACTCTTCCAACCCAAGACTAAATCCCAACAGCTCAGGTGTCCTCCAAGCCTTCAGAGACAGACAAGAGACTGCTGACGCTTGAAGGCTTTGTGGACTGAGCAGCTGCGGGGTCCTCAGCCTTTCTAGCATGCAAACAGTCACTACTGGACTACCAGCCACAATCACATAATTCCTTTTCATAACATATCTTCATTCTATTAGTTCTGTTCCTCTAAAGAATTTGAGAAAAACACCACCTAAATTCTCAAATGTATTTTCTGGCTCGAATTCGGTACTACATTTTACATTAATGTACTATGCCTCTGACTTGCAAATCGACCTTCTCACGGTTAGCACAGTTAAAATCTAGCTTCTGATTGTATTTTATGATGTATCACAGTAATATAGCTACAGAAATAAAAGGTTCTTCTTCATTCTGGGAAATAAAGAAGACACTAATTAGATCACATGAAACAATAGCTCCCTTTATCTACTCAGAGAGCAGAAGAGACAAATTCAAAAGTACTGATAAGGATTATAAATTTAACAAATTGTTCATTACTTATTAACATTATTAGCAAAACATGCCATTGAGCTATACAAGTGTTTCTTAAATTATACTACCTTAGCTGGAGAATTCTAACTTACGGTATTAGAAGTACAATTCAGATCACTTCGAGTTTCTTCAAATCATTCATGTACAATTCCCTATAAAAATCACTGGGCATAAGGCTTCCTTTACTATGCTTTCATTTAATAGATATAAAAACTAAAGCTTAGGGGTTCTAAAAAACTTCGTACCCAAGCACAGCAGCACTTGAGCAGCAGCAAGACAGCCAGAGTACAGTGAGTGGCATGTAGTCAAGCTGGGGCTGCAATGCCTCGTTATTACTCAGTTGAAGGGCCCTGACCAAGACACTTGTTTTTTATTTCTTCTGCATTTCAGTTTCTCAAAGGGATAGCAGTAACTACTCTCATGAAAATTAAAGTATCCACACATAAAGTTTTAATTAATATTTCCTTTTATCAGTTAAGTCTTTAAATTCTGAAAGAAGGGACACTTGAAATGGTAACTTTTTTAAAAAAGACATTTTGTCATAAGAATAAAAATACTTCCAGAACATCTTGAACTTAGCAGTAAATGTTCAGACTTAGAGCATTTTCATTTGGGGAATATTTATTCTCCATGTTTCTTCCAAAAATTAAAAGCTTAATTCTAAAACCTTGCATAAAATAATACCTACATTAAAATTGTGTGATTTACAGATGGAATCCCCACTTGAGAAACTTGTGGCACCAAAAGTGGTGGGAAGAACGATCAGCCCACACTAACGTTAGCACTGGAATCATCCAACACCTCCTTTATAGAGAGTGTATGTTGTGGTAAGCTTTACCATAAGACACTCAAATTTGCAGAAACTACTTTTTAGAAGTTATGTTTCAAAGGTTACAATATACAATCCAAACAACGTTGCATAGTATCCAAACCCTAAGTATACCTGCCAACACTTTAGAACATTTCCTTTCCAGTAAAAGAAACATAAGAATAAATAGACAACACAAAATTAAGTTAAAAAGATAAAACACACATACTATTTATCATTACCATACTATGTAACTGCTTTACCACTTAAAGATAAACCCTAAAAACAATTAGTTTTACACTGGAGACCCATATCATAAGACCACTACTTTTCCTACCAGTTTACAACTGTATAAATGTTTTAGAGTGAGAAAGTATCTTATTATAGCTTTACATATTATGTACTACAGTTTGTATTACAGCAGACATCCCTTACCCGTATATCTATGAATCTAAAATCTTAAGCGAAGATAAATGGTTCCACATAGTTGAGTATAATTTTGTGCTTTATTTTCACAGATTATTCTCAGCAGTTCTTGGATCTCAGGCACTAACCTGTATAACCTACCCATATTCTTCATAGTCTTCCAGATAATGGTTAAGGAAGAACTGAATACTATGTACTTACACGCGAAAAGGCAGTTCACCACGGTGACTGATCGCTACTGCAGGCTCAGTCCCACCCACACAGGACTGCCTACATGAACCTCAGCAAGTTCCTTGATAGCTCCCAGTCTGTTATCCTATAGCAGGGAAGCGCCTACATGAGGATCAGTGGGTGCTCAGCCCTCTGTGTGGAACACAGCACACAGAAGGGTTGTATTTTTATGACAACCACTACCAGGCTTTACTTTACAGGCATTATTCTGTTACACTTTCCCACTTCAGCTTCACCGATGAGGACTAGAGCCTTGCAGTGCCTAACTCATCTTTAGTGTAAAAGTTCATAAGTGAAAATGCCAATTTCCGTGCACAGGTTCCCTGTACCATTATTTCCTCAAACCACTTACTTCCATGGAGATAAACAAGTTCTCAATGATGTTTATAATTTTAAATTATGATTATTCTACAGAGAAATTTTAAAATAAAGACTCTCTCACAGATCTTTTTTCTAAAATGTTTCTAAAATCATCAAACTGGTTATAACAAACATCTAGGATCTATAGGAATATTGTTAGGTCAAAAAATATTGTTTTCTTACCAAGCAATCAACTTTAAAAATTCTCAAAAACGACAGCTAGCTTTCATTCTTCACAAATAATTTCAATAAGTATTTTTTCAAAAGTTCTAACACCATGTCAACACCAGGTATCAACGTCTAGACTCAGTGAAGTCTAGATCTTTCCTCTCGAGTGAAAATACTTCTTAAACAAAACCCACAAAGTGGAACACTTCTTGGTAACATTCAGCCTTGTGCTTTAACAGGGGAATATGAAAAGTTAGTTCTCCCTTCAGCTAACAGTCCTTGAACTCACATAGTGCACCAGTCTCTCTATGCCAATCACGTTTCTACAGTAATCCAAAGGATAGTTCTACTTGAACTTGAAAAACACTTCTAAATAAAACACATTTTATCTATTCCACAACTTTTCCAAACAAGAGCCCTCTTCTGCATCTCTAATTCTTTTCTATGGTATCAATATTCATAAGTCATTCGGGCTCATGATCACAAAATAATCATTTGATTCCGAATACAGGAAATACAGACAACAATCAACAAACATACTTCAAAACATTCTCTTAAGCCATATCAATTCCCAATTACCAACCTAAGTTTCACAACACTCATAATTATACTACTCCTCACTAACTTTGTCACTCCATTACCTACTCCACCTGATTATCCTTCTTAAAAACACAATTTGACTGTGTCAGTTCTCTGCTCTAAATCCTCCATGAATTTCCATTGCTTAATCTACTAAACTAAGTCCAAACCTGAAATTCAAGCTTTGGATATTTTGACTGATAAAGTGAATTCTCTACATTTATTAAAGCGTAGGTACTTGTCACATAATTACCTGTTTTTAACCACTTCCTATGACTGACCTTGATGTAGTCCAAATTTCTGTGGGAATGAGTTATTTTCATATACTCTTATCGGAGTAAATAACTGAGATAGACAATGAGCTCTTCAGTTATTATTCAAAGTTCTTCTCAAGTTTGCATGAACAATGAGATTCCTAGACTGAAAATGTGAAAATGCTGGTGCCTGTCATGTACAATGGCATATAGTGTTTATACAGACCCTCCACTCATCCTCTTCTATACTCTAGATCATTTCTACATTACTTTTAATGCAAAATACTATGTAAATAACTGAATATAAACTTGTCAATCGCTACATAAACATTGTACCATACTATTTAGACAATAACAAAGTAAATGTGTAGACACAAATTTCTGCCACATATTCTTGATTGGTAGCTGGTTAAATCTACAGATGTGGAACCTACAAATACAGTGTCTGTGTTGGGTACTATATGTGATCACTTATTCAACAAACATTTACTGGGTCACAAATTTATGCCAAGAATACTAAAGTGATTTCCATCTTTTTCAATAACACTGAACATGTGACATACATTCTCATTTAATGCTTAAAGGTACCCTCTTTATCAATAAAGCACCTTCTTTTTTTTAACATTAGACCATTACTTTTCTAGTAAAGTCAAAGAACAGACAGGGAACTAAAATTCAGACCCAAAACTGAATACTAAAGCCTATACCTGACCTACGACAAAATTAACGTAGGGAGGGTAATCTGTCAGCCATGAAGGGCTCTCACCATCACACAGTATAATAAACACTATGAAGGAAGCACAAAGCGATGGCCTAAACCGAGATAAACAGGATGAAGTGTCTGAGTTCACAAAGCAAACTTTTAAGAATAGCAGAGAGGAAAAGAAATTCCCACAGAAGGGGTAGTATGTGCAATGACACAAAATGCCATTATATACACAATGACTGGTAGGAAGTACGAATGAACAGGGCAAGCATAATCTCAGGACAATTTAATCAAATTTAAATTTGGCCAGTGAGATAAAGTCAATGAGTATTTTGAAGCAAGAGAGACTAAGCATGCATATATGTGTATGCTTTAGGAATACTACTCTAGCACAGCAATAGGCTGGAAAGGCCTAGAAGCACAGGCCTCTTGGCTATGAAGAGTTCAGGCAAAACTAACCCAACAGCAGAAGTAGTAGGAACAAAGATTGAGCCAGGTGGTGGTGGTGCACGCCTCCAATCCCGGCACTCAGAAGGCAGAAGAAGTAGAAGGATCTGAGTTTGAGACCAGCCTGGCCTACAAGGAGAGTTCAGAGGCAGCCTGAGCTATACAGAGAAAGCCTGTCTCAAAAAACAAAACAACAAGAAAAAAGACTGATTCAAAATACAAAGAAACTAGAAGTACTAAACATCAAAATAACCAATCAGGGAAGAACATGGTAAGAAGGTGAAGGGAAGGAAGGAATATAGGCAAACCCAAGTTTCCCTCTTGAGCTCTGGCTATATATGGAAGCACCACTATCAAAACAGGGAATAGAAGGGCAAAAACAAGGTGGCGGTACTGAAAGGGCCAGGTGGGCTAAGACTTGTGTGTAATAAACAAACAGAATTACAGCATTTGGAAGAGATGTTTATTAGAGAATAAAAATTGAGAGACAGTACCCGAGATTGGGTAAAACACCCCAGGAATATGTATAAAGGAAGGCAATGAAGATAAGTTCCCAGAACTAAACATATTGAAAGCAGAAGCATAGGCAAGTATGAAGGAGAGAGTGGAGATGTGCAGGTTTTCAGTATATATCTAAGGGAGCTGGCAATGCACAGAATGAGCCCAAGAGAAGAGAAATGGAAGTTGGCTACTGGTGACTTGAAGATTGACTACAGTAGAATCACTGGTGGGGGAAGGAAAGGGTAGGCAAAACTAAGTGACTAGCGCAAAAGGAAAGAATGAACGTCTTGACTGAGAAGAGAGCAGCAGTAAAAAAGAACACAGAACTGAACATTTTTAGGATAGCACAGATTTTAGCACTTTTACAGGATGAGAAAAAGACCTGTGGTGAGAGAAATTCTTAAAATATACCTTTACACTTAAAATCAGTATATGGAAAAGATACCTATGATACAATATTAAGTGAAAATACAAGTTGGTTAACACATAGAGAATGATGTCACTTAAAATTCAGACTGTTCCATGACTTCACCCATGCCAAGACTGACTTCATCATGTGCCAATTTCCCTCACATGCAGTCCCAAAAACACTGGCCATCTTTCTGACCCTTCAACACACAAGCTTGCTGTATCTGCCAGAGTGCTCTTCTTGCCAATGGCCAATCCTCCAGGCAATTCTGATGACCTTGGTTCCTCAGAAAGACTTGCCTACCTGTAGGTAGTATGACATAATCGCCTCCCTCCAGCTCTCTAACGACACCAGCATTTCCTTGTGCCAAAGATTAGCACAACATAATACTAAAACTCTTATTTGTTCACCTGTCCATCCTTTTTTCTGGAATATAGGTTCTGAAGATTTCATCTGCCATGTATTCACATATTGTTCAACACGATTGTCTGTTTAAAAATTCTTGGCATGGTAGGCACTTAAAAGTAAAACTTACATACATACTGAGTGAAAATGAACACACCTATATTTATGTTAAAAATAGGAAGAAAGTTCTAAAAGGAGCTAATATTCCTGTTATAAGTTAACAGGAATGAGTATGAAGTTAGAAAGAGGGAAATAGATAATTATAATCATTTTGTATCTCATCTCCAAATTGTCTACAAAAATCATGTCTTTTGTAGCTGAAGAATGACTTTTAAATAATACCATGAATCTACAACAGGCAATCTTCTGTTTTCTCTATTTTTTAGTGAGCTGTCATAATTTGATCTATGGGACAATTTTATTGCAAGCTAATGTGTGAGTTGTTCTGCTATTAGTTGAAAGTTAGAATGTTAATCCTTGGAATTGGAAAAAGCTTAGATCATCTTATCTGTCACCTAACTCTACAGACATGAAAGCAAACTCAGAAATTTAAAAAGATACTTATGAAAAAACTGCAAAGACCAAAATAATTAAGAACTTTTTACTTAAAAAAAAAAAAAGCCAAACATTTAAAAGACCATTATACATTGCGTAACTTAAATGATAACTACTACGAGCGTACTGTCACATATAACTAACTACAACCTTCTAGTGAAATTATTACTTGAGGTAAAACTCAAACATACTATTTGACCAATGACCGCTAACACTGCAACATAACAGAGATTCAGAATATAGAGAGTGAAAAACATTCACTCTTAAAAACCCTAATGCAATTAAGTTTAAGGCCAAACCACCTGAACTAGCAGACATGTCTTTCTACCACAGATTCACTATCCTTCGACTCAAACTTCTGCATCAATCGCTTTAAGGTGTATCTAATGGAACTGATGATAATTAAATGTTAAACATTTTTAAAAACAGAAAATACAATCTATGTTAATAACTATTTCATTACATAAATACTATAATTTACCAGAAATACATCAAATTTCATCGAACTTCTAAATAAATATCATTCTATGCTTAATAAATAATCTCATTTGATCCTCACAACCACAAGGTTGGCATATATTTCTACCACTTAGCATATAAGAATAAAGCTCGGGAAATTAAAGAATTTGATTCTTTCAGCTAACCCCTATGTCATCTCAACTACTTACCTCTTGTTTTTTCCATCCAGGACATCCATGTACCAGTATATTTATGAATGAAAGTAAGGTTTGTTTGTTTTTAATGGAAACCCCAGCATTCTTATCCAGCTCTACATAACAAAGCATTAATCATTCACCTTATGGTGAAACAGATATGAAAGTGGCCTTTAATAACTTGGGTCATCAGTAATTCCACATGAAGTCCTACCAAATGTTCTATTATTTTCTTAAGCACAATTAAGGTACCCTTTTATCTATAACACACTTTACAAGTCACACAAAATATTGAGAAAATGGGCTTTGTCGTTAGAAAAACAATCTAAAACCGATTCACAGTCTCCTGACTTACTAAATGTTTGACTGGACACTTGTTAACTTACTTGAAGTTCACTGCCCATAAAAAAAAGGTACCGCCTTTCCCTGAGAGCTGTTGGGAAGACTAAGATGCTCAGTGTAAAGCAGTTAGGTTTCAGTTAAGGGCCAGTTGGATGACATATAAGTTAGAAAAATAAACAGATGCAAAAACAGGTACAGTCAATGTCATTTAACTGTTGACTCTGATTTCCAGGATGGTGTTTTTCCCCCATCTCAAAGTTTAAGCCAGGACACAGTAGAGAGCCAATTAAAGTAAGGACTGCTCTTGCAACCCCTGCAATTAAACAATATTGTATAATTTGTTTAGAATATTGGACTTGGTTATACTGAAATCAAAGTTCATACTACTCAGTCTGCAAACTGCATCTGTCACACAACTGTGGAATAAAATATATAGAACCAGCTTGGTAAGTACAAATCATAATACTATGAATTCACATTAGGAGAAAAATCTTCAGAGCAAACAGGAAGAAACACTAAGCAACATAATAGTCCATTATACACTAATTTATGTCCAATTTTAATAAACCTCATCCTAGTCAATATTAACATGGTTTTCTAGCTTAGAAAAGGAAGTTCCAACCACAGTAACCTTCAGAAAGTCTCTTGCTCCATTCAAGTCCTCTCTCCTTCTGCTCAGAAATATTCTCCTGTCTCTACTATGTTGTTTGTTTTGTCCAGCTTGAGGTCTACCTCTAACCGTACCCCCTCTGACCATGCAATCTAAGAGCACACAACAATTACTTCATGCTTATATCTGCATGGGTCACACAACCGTTATCTTCTTTGAATGATCTGACCTATTACTGCTGTCTTGATTACTCAGTACAGAGGAAGATGCTGGCTTAATGAATGCACACACCTGCCTAGTCATTCACCGAGTAACCCTGACTCCAGGTTCCTGGACTTTCTTCAAGGGTGAAAGCGAGGGTACTCTGAGCTCAGAAGTGAAAGGAGGCGTGCCCTGCTGCCTTCCCCAACACTCATTCTCTTTAAGGAAACTAGAGAACTACCTATATTGTGTGTACCGGAATTCCAAAAACACGGCACAGGATCATAATGCACTTAAAAAAAGAAAACACTGGATTATTGCACTACTTAAAAATGGTAATACTTCAAAAGTCATGAGCAAATGGCATCTGCCATTTTTTTAGAACTATAAGAAATTAAGACAATCAAGTGCCTTTTACTAATAGGCTTGCAATGTTTTTTCCTTCGGTAAGTTGTTCCGAATTTAACAATACCCCATGCAGAAAAACTTAAAAATCGGCCCTAAAATATCATTGTGATATTGGTAATACTGTTTCTTCTCAAAAGACGTGCATGTATTCTGCGGTGTTCTCGGCGTTAAACAAATTTCTTGCAGGTAAAGGTCGTCACTAGCAACGTTGCATTTGACAATGTGGCCCTCAGAGTTGACTTAAATACTTACTGAGTCCTCCATCCTCGGGCACTCCCGTCCCTCTCATTCCTAGGTAAGTCAGTCCCAGTATTAGGAAAAATAAGCAGGCAGCAGTAAGGAGAAACATCGACAAGTAGTGAGCACTGAAACTCCCGGTCGGAGACACCTCCTCACGTTTAAACTGCTGGAGAAGTTCCTCCTCAGGTTCGCAGAGCTTCGGCTTGCTATAGGCGTTTTTCAGGTAGGTATGATTGGAGCCTGTATGGTTGGCGTGGTTGATCCTGAGTGAGCCAGGGGCGGCCGCGGCCGCGCTGGGAGGGAGGCTGTTGGCATATATGCTGGGGGAATCCACACTGAAGGCCCCACCGCCCGTGTGATTATTGGTTTTGAGGAGGGAAGCCGTGGGCGACTCCAGGGTTGGGTCCATGTCGGGAATCGGCGGCGGGGCCAGGAGCGGGGCCAGCTTCTTCCCGCCAGCCCGGTATCGAGGAATGGGGCTGGAGTCCGCTTGATCGCACCCTCCTCCCGGCTCGGCCGCCGCCTCCTCGACGTTTCGGCTCCTGTCTAGACTCCCGGCGGCCGCCGCCCTGTCATTCATCGCGAGTCCTCCCCCTCCCTGAACCGAAGTCTCCTGCCGGCTGCCGCCACATTTAGCAGTCAGCGCGGAGAAGGGTTTACTATGGCTCCGTCTGGGTCGATGCCGGGAAAGGGAGTCGTCCTTTAATACCTGTCTGGTGGAGGCCACGTCGTCGTCGTCGTCGTCGTCCTCCTCCTCCTCCTCCGAGTCCGAGTAGTGCTCCCGGCAGCTGTAGGGCAGGAGGCGGCTGCCGTTCACGGCGCGGCTGGCCCACAGAGGCTCCTCGGCCTCGGGATCCCGGTCGTCGCCGTCGGCCACCTCGTCGTCCACGTCCTCCGCGGCCCCGTCGTTCCCCGACGGGGGCTGCGGCTCGGGGCCGCCGGCCGCCCTCCGCGACGCCCACCACGAGTGGGGCTTCCTCCGCTCGCCCGGGGTGCCGCCGGCGGCGAGCTCGCCGGCGGCCGGGGGAGCCGGCGGCGCTCTGAGCCCGCGGGCCGGGAGCGCAGCCCGGTCCCTCCGCGCCCCGCCGCCGGCCTGCTCCCGGGGGCTGGCCTCCACGTCCGACTCGTCGGAGCTGAAGCCCAGCAGGACCTTGCTGCCCGCCGCGGGCACGGCCGCCGCGCCCCCGGGTCCTCCCAGGGGGCTGTCGGGAACCGGGGCCGACAGCCGGCCGAGGCCCGCGGGGGTCCGTAAATACGGGAGGTCCCCCGAGCCCGGCCGGACCCCCATCGCCGCCGCCGCCGCCGCCGGTCCCGCGGCCGCTGCCGTGTTATTGTTATTACTGTTCCGCGTCTTGTGGCCGCGGCCCCCCGCCCGGTGCTGCTGCTGCTGCTGCTCTTCCTCGCGAAGCTTCTTCAGCTTCTTGAGGTACACCGGCCGAGTGCTCTCCGTCACCGGACCCGGAGACAAGCCGTAACGGCGGAGCTGGGAGAAAAGCTCCTCATCCGAGAGCTGTTGAGGCGCCGAAGCCGCAGCCGCCGCCGCCGCCGCCGCAGCCGCCATTTTCTCTCCAGGGTGTTTTACAAGCTCCGCGCTACCGGAAGTGACGCGCCGCCCTAGACCCTGAACTAGACCGGGCTGCGTCGCCCTTCCAGCGCCACGGCCGCCTCGGCCAATGGGAGGCGCGGGAGGAGCTCACCTGAGCGGGAAAGCGCCACCTGAGCGGCGCGCGGCTCGTCCCGGGCAGCGTGGCCGCCCCGACCCCGCCGGGATGCCGGGCTCCTCAGCCCGCCCCGCGCCCCGGGCCTCCCGACGCCGTCCCCCGGCCGCCTCTCTCCAACCCACACCTTGACCTCTTCCCAGGCTCCCGCCACCCGGCTGCAGGCGCGCGGAGGAAAGCTGCCCTGAAGTTCATGGCGATACTTTTCCTGCTCGGATTCCTGGGCAGAGACAGACCCTGGGTGGGCAGTTTTGCCGTCTGACTTCCAGGATCCCTTTTCATTTTGTTTTTCCGTTTGACTCTTTTTTTTTTTTTTTTTTTTTTTTTTAAGTGACTTTGTCTCGATGCCTTTTCAGAGACGCCTCTCCTTTTGGGTGAAATGGAATAGATCGTTCACAGAATACAGTTTTCAAAAGCCAGAGCTACTCTTGGGTGTATGTAATTAACTTTTTTTGTGTGTTTTGTCTTGTTTCTTCAACTATGATGACCTTACAGAGCTGTCATTTGGAGAAATGAAAGCCTGTCATGTGATTCATTTAACTGAAGAAAAGACAAGCTCACCATTCAGCTACTCTCCTAGCACCTATCCAAACAATACTTAATAAATACTTTCATTTATTTTGAAATATTTGCCCCATTGGCTGTAAACTCCGTGTACAGAGGAACTTTGTGTCTGTTAATTTCGACACCAGAAGCACAGTAAACGTTTGTTGGATGAGATACTGAACTGCAAACTGTGACAGCATGAGATTTAAAATTTGGGGCCTGGAGGAAATGCCTAGTGAGGTCGATAAACTATCCCCCAAAGACAATAATAGTAAAACCTGGAAGGCCTATCCTCTTGTTCACAAAATACAAGATAAATCCGAGAGAGGAGAAATTTGCCAATTTTGGTAAAGAGTGCTTCCCTTTTTCTTAAATCCTGACATAGCTAATATGTTTTGAGTACTTGAGCCCCAGAAGCAATTAGGCAATCCTAGCACTATGTATGAAACATTACGATAATTTTTGTCTCAGTTGCTTTACCCTATGACATAAAAACCTCTATGCAGAATAGGTTAGTCAAAAGCACAAATACTAGCTTTTCCACACCCAGCAGAAATCTACTTAGTAACCTCAATTCTTGATTTCTAGCAAATCTTGCCTTGTCTTCAAAACAAAGCTTCCATATGGAAGACTGCGTCTCCTTTATCACTGAGACTTTCAATGTCACAATTGTTCCTGAATCTATGACTATTAAGCACTTGCAAGAGTGTCTGACACTGAATCAGGGATTAGGATGGCCCAAATGTCTTAAGTCTGCAATGGGGAATCAAATTATCGAAAACTTACCAGACCCGTATCTTAGTATAGCAAAGCAGTTCACCTGGGAACTTTGTCATTAACAAAACTGGATATTGGCCCTGTCCCTTCTGCTGCTTTTCGTCTTAGTTCAACATTTGACCTCCACCCTGTCGGTTCATTAGGTAGGAATCCCAGGTGTCTGGGGGTTAACATGTCAGCTTGACTGGATCCAAACATCACCTAGGAAACCTTCCCTTAAGGGATTATCTAGGTTGGGCTAATTGATGTGAAAGACCCATCTTGACTCAAGACTGGATACAATGGGGAAAGTGGACCGAGACCAACCATAACTTTCTGCTTCCTGACCATGGTTGCAACAGGAGCCGCTGCCTCAGGCTCCTGCTTCATTCATTGGCTGCCATGAACTTTGGCCTCAACCTATAAACCAGACTAAATCCAACCTCCCTTTCCTAACTCTCCTATGGTCAGACATTTTGTTTCAGCACTGTGTAAAGTAACTAATACAGTATCTATTGGTTCTACCACAACAGTCATGGACTTTTAAATAAAGCCCTGCAGGGACTGCTGGACAACTTATATTCCCATCTGTAACTCTGGGTCAATGAGTTAATGTTTCTGAGCCTTAATTTCTGTACACACAAAAATCCTCCACAGACAAATATCTTAGGGACTAAGTGTCCATGCCCAACACACAAAGTAAAGGTTAGTAACACAAAGTCAGTCAGTCATTGTGTGTGCATCTATTTTAGTTGCATGGTTCCTAGTAATTCTGGATAACAACAATCAAAATACTACGGCACAGACAGAAATAGAATTATTCACATATAACAATCACACAGTGAATTAATGAGGATCAACGACTTTAATAAACCACAATTCTTGGTCCTCTCGGCACTTTGGGTTTTGAATGAACTAAGAACTGAAGGTCCCCAGTCTCCAAGTTACATACCCAAGAGTAAATCTTAGGTTCTCAAAACCTCAATGTATTCTCTTAAGATATTAACAATATTGCCTTCCCTACTTGGCAAACAACTGGTATTTAAGAAATTTTTTATGAGAACAATGAATAATACATAATAGTATATGAAAATGACATCCAAGTATGGTGTTTACATGCTAGTTACTTCCACGTGTTAAAAAGCTATGGCAATTATACTAATATGCAAATTTCTGTTTTACAAGAAGTTTTTTAAACATGATCTCATTTGGTCTACAAAACAAATGACAGCCAGGCATGGTGGCACACACCTGTAATCCGGCAGAGGCAAGCCAATCTCTGTGAGTTCCAAGGCAGCCTAGTCCACAGAGTGACCTCCAGGACAGCCAAGACTACACAGATAAACCCTGTCACACACACACACACAAAAGATAACAACACAAACCTGTCTTTGGGGATGCTGAAGGCATAATTCGATGTAGGGAACTATATGGAGCTGTAACTCGTTGTAGTTTTGGTGTTTGAGTGTCCTGAGCCAGGACACTCACTTCTCCAGGAGAGGCTTCCCAGGCTCGGTCCTGTCAATGCTCCTTTGTGACCTGCTCCTTATTTGCCAATGGATCTTACTCCAGCTTCTAGACTGGCTGAGGTTTAAAGAAGGAACAGCAGGATCTTAGTTGTACCCAGATCCTTGATAGGGACTACAATCTTCAACTTGTTAGGCTCTATCGCTTCCAAAAGTTTGATGGGGGAGGCATTTATGTTCGGCTTTCCTGTACAATCTTGGCATCAGCTTTCAATGAAAAAATTGGTGTAGAATTTTTGGAACCCAATATTATAATTAAAGATAACACTCATGCTTTATTTCCTAGAAGACTGTCCTTTCTGGTCCTAGTACTAACAATAGTTCTGTTTTTCCAGATCATTAGATTTAGGTTTGTTTGTTTGTTTGTTTGTTTGTTTTCTGAAATGAAATTCACAAGGATAAAACTAGCATTTTAAAGTATACAAATGGCATTTCCAAAAATCACAGTATTTTTGTCACTTCCCACGTCCTTCCTGCCCTAGCTGCAGGCAACCATTATCAGTTTCTCACCTCTGTGGATAAGGCTCTTCTGGTTATTCCGTATGAGTAGAATCAAAAGTTAGGTGGGGTCATACCTGGTTCCCTTCACTCGACATAATGTTTTCAAGATCTATCCACGTCACAACAAATCCTTGATTTGTAATGTGATTTTATATATATATAAATATTATAATCATAATATTTTGTTCTATGGGTATGTCACATTTTATTGATCTATTCATCCGCTGACCGGCATTTTGATCGTGTCTACATTTGCTTACTGCTCATAATGTTATTATAAGCATTGCTTATTTTTTTAAGGATTCATTTTCAAAATTTGAGTATGTGTTTCAGAATGGAATAACAGATCATGTGACAACTATTTATTGGTGGAATTTTTGCAGATTATGAAGATTTATAAATGTGTTAATGGAAGGAAAAAAAGAAGGAAGAAAGAACGACATTGGCTTGCTGTTCTCCCAGAACAGAAAGCTTTTCTGTAGCAAATTTGGATTTTTTTCATACCTAACTGCCATGGTTTGAAAATGGCCTGTTCCCACCAAAGCCTATGTTGATATTTAATTCCTCATATACTAATGGGTAGTTGAGTATGGTTGGAGTGGTGGGAGGGGTCATAAGGGCTGAACTACTATGAATATATTCATACCTTCTCCTGGGAGTGAGTGCCCACTTTCTACAGGGTTGGAATAATTACCTGGAGAGCAAATTAGTACAAAGTAACCACGCCTCTAGGCTCCAGGGCTGTGCTGGGGTTTAGCTGCTTCCCAGAATTCCGTAGGCAGCACGTTTCTTGATGCTCTGGGGCTTGTTTTATGGCCCTGGTTTTGGCGGGGATTTTATTATAGACGTTCATGGGTTGGGGTCCAGGGAGCGTTGTTTTCTGTCTGGCTGGAAGAAAATACATCATGTGGGGCCGGAATGACTGACTCTGAGAGAAGCATTGCTTTTACTTCATCCTGTCTGCTGGACTAAATGATGGCAGTGATTCAATCCAAGAGGAATTTATGTAAACGTTAAAGGGATGGGGTAAACTGAGAGTGAGGATAGTAAGGAGGAAAGGAGAGCCTGGGGACAGAGCCAGCATGGGAGGAGCAAGGATGGGAGGAACCAAGAGCCTGGCCAGCAAAGGAACTCTCTAACTGAATTTTTTTAGCCAGGTCCCTAAGACTGCAGATCCCATTTGTTGGTGTAGAAGCGACATTGTTCCTGGAGAAGGGCACAAATCTCTACGTTAGCAACTGTCTAACAATTTAGACCTCTTCAATTCAAGAACAACAACACATTTTCCTGAAAGAAATCAAGCTGATATGAAATTTCTTTAGGTTTTTCCTGAGACCTGGTGAGATAGATTAATTGATGTACGCACACATATGTACAAATGTGTGTGTGTGTGTGTGTACATTTTTTTTTTAAATCCCCAACAAAACCTCTCAGCCCCACTCTTTGAGTTCTAATTCCTAAAAGAATGCCCAGGGTTGCAAGAAGAGGGATGAGCGTGATGGCACATTATCTAT